CAGGGTTGAATGAAAAACTGCTGCAGCCCCTTGATAAGGGTGTGTGCATGGGGATTATGTGTCAGCCACCATCTCGTGCCCCATCAGTGGTGCAGCCTCAGAGATTCCATGTGTCTCTGCAGTCACAGCCTCCTGCTCTGCAGAAAAAGGCAAGGGGGCACCTCTCCCTCTCCCTCCCTCAGGCTCCTATTATTGTGGTCAAAAGTCACCTTTTGCATGACTCACAGTGCCTGGGAGCTGAAGGGGTCTGGCTGTGGTATGCATGGATGGTCCTTTGGGAATCACCTTTGGGATAGGAAGAGACTCTGCCAGGTGCACCCCCTCTGGAGGGACTGGCAGAGGGTCATGTTATCTATATTGGGCTAAAATGCATTGGATTGACTGAAGGGTCTCAGCAAAGCCTGTGCCTGGGCAGCTCACAAGTGAAGCCCAGCCACAGGCTGCAGAGTGGGACATGGTGGCATCAGAGCCTGGGTTACAGGAGCCTTGTGTTGGTTGTTTGCTGTGAGCACCATGTCACCAGTGATGAGAACCCGTGTGGGTTCCTGTGGATGCATGGCTGGTGCACCGGAAAGGACACAGGCTGAGCAGGGGTGGGCAGCAGCTGGGCTCAGCATGGTGAGTGCCAGTGCACAGTGCCAGTGAGCACTGTGCCCACAGGGCACTGCAACACCCTCGGCACAAAACCTCCAACACAGCTTGGAGCTGCTGCCTTCCTGCTGGCCCCATGAAATGCTCCTGTCCCTGCCACGTGTGGGACAGGATGTGTGTGACATCCTGCAGCCTGCCTGCCTGGCACATCGTCCTTTGGAGAAGGATGGTAAGTTCACACCTGTCCCTTTCCTGTGACTTCCACTAGGGCTGGGCAAGAGGGCAGTGTGGCAGCACACTGTACTGAGCCATGATTTTATGCCTAGCAAGTGGTGTTTGAAGAAGTCTTGCACGGGCCCAGATTTAGCTTTGTTTTTGGGGGGGGCAGGAGTCTGCAACTTCCCATGTGCCAGACCTGAACAGGCTGCAGAGGAACAGGGTGGTGGCTGAGGGTGAGAGTGACCCCACAGCCAGGGATCGGGGACAGGACTCAGTGCCTTTAAACCCAGCAAATGTTTCCATTGCTCAACAGTCACACAGCAGAGGAGTGCAAGAGGAACATGGAGGTCAGGGTTGACATCATCATGCAACCATTTTAAATATCTTGCTGGAAAAAGCAGCAGTTGGAGTTCCTGATGGCTGCCACTACTCTGCCCTATACATTTTGGTAGTAGCACATACAGAGCCCAGGGCTGGTGTGCAGAAAGATGGAAACTCAGTGGGCTCCGAGGGCAAAGCAGAGACAACTTCTCACCCATGCTCTTGCACAGGCATCTTGAGCTGGACCACAAAACCCCATCACCAGGAGCCCCTCTCTGATCAAAGCAAGGAGGGACATGGGTGCCCAGGCATGGGCATGGCCAGGCTAGGGCTGGCTGGGGTTTCCTGGCAGCAGGGATGGGGCTGGGGTTTTCTGGGGCCCCTTCTCAGTGTGCTCTTTCAGATCTGGGTATCTCCTCTGCCAGAAGCAGTTTCCACTCCCTTCAATTTCCCAGGGGCTTGGTGAGACAGGGAAAAAAGTGCTGTCAAAGGTTTTCCCCTTCCCTTCCAAAGTATAAGCCCCTGGGGTTCCCAGCAGGGATTTGGCAGCCACAGGAATGTGTGCGAATACACGAGACTTCAGGACAGGGCTTAGGAGTGTGTGCTGTTGTGAGAAATGTCTCACTGAGGACTTCTTGGCATCACACTCACCCCAAGTCTCAGAGCAAAACTGCCCATGCCGACCCCCCATACCCTGGTTTCTCCCAGGTGCATGTCCTTGTTTTCAGCAGCCTGAAACAAGGGTGTCGCCAGTCCCTGGCGAGGGATGAGCACAGTGCTGCAGTATTCGCCGATATTGTGCCTTTAGGGCGTGAAGGAGTTAAACTTTTCGGATGGAAAGCGAACCGAAGATCAGACTAGCAGCTTGGTGACCTCCCGCCGCTGGGACAGCAGCAGCAGCAGCTCCCAGCCCAGCCCGCAGTTCTATCCATCCATCCATCCATCCGTCCGTCCGTCCGTCCATCCGTCCGTCGGC